AAACAAGCTAATGCTAAATCCAGGTGCAACAGAAATATTTTTTAGAAAGCAGGTTTCTGATATAAGGCTTCCTCTGGATGTACTATACTTATCCAGAAAGAGTACATTACCAGTTTGGGACTGCTCCTTAATCACTATATACTACTGGATTTGCAAATGGCAGGTGAACTAGCCGGATTTAGCAAAGTTATCCACAACTTGGTTATAGCCTGTGTTACATTTGTTAAGCACCCCACCCCACCCCACCCCACCCTACTGGGTTCTAAATTTTTTTACTACCGGTTCTGTGGGCATGGCTTGGTGGTCATGTGACTGTGTGGGTGTGGCTTAATGGTCACGTGTCTGGGCATGGCTTGGTGGTCATGTGACTTGATGGGTGTAGCTGGGTGGTCATGTGACTGGGTAGAAGTGGCCAGCTTGACATCACTCACGTCAAGGGTTATGGTTAGGGTGCCTGGCCTCTCCTCACCTCAAAGGCCTCAACAAGATACAATTTCCCTGTCTATTTATTTACTACTACTGAACATCCAAAGAAAATGCCTGGCCACGGCAGCGGCAGCAGCACCCAAAACAGGAGCTTCAGGCTGTGGCACGTGGAGGCAGGGCAGGGGTTGAAACGGGAGCTTCAGTGCCCCGAAATTTTCCTGCATGGCTTTTGCCGCTGTAGGCATCGGCAGCAGCAGGGAATCCCGGAACTACCCGAAACTTTTCCTGCATGGCTTTTGCCACTGCAGGCATCGGCAGCGGTAGCAGCAGGGAGTTCTGGAACTCCACAGGACTTTTCCTGCACAGCTTTTGCTGCGGCAGGCATCAGTGGCGCGGGGGCAGCAGAGGGGCGTCACGGAGCTCCTGGGAGGTTTTCCTGAGCGGATTTTGCCACGGCAGGGGCGTCCCGGATATCCCAGGCAGTTTTCCCTCTCAGCCCTAGCAAAGCGGCTCTGTCTCCCCAAAGGGTCACCCACCCACTAGCTGACCGAGCCAGGCCTGAAGCGGTGCATCTCCCATCATGGGTTTGATGTGTGACCCGACCTCAGAAGGCAAAAGTGTGCTGGACCGCCGGGAAGGCCGCATGGAAGGCAGGCAAGCATGGCTGGGCCATGGGAGAGTAGGCTGCTAGCTCTCTTCCCCATGGCTGGGCAGCCCCAGCATGCTTGCCTGCTTTCCATGTGGCTTTCCCAGTGGTCCGCTTGCCCGCCTTCCTCCCCCACCACCACCTCCTTGTTTAGGTGGTGGTGGGGGAGGAAGGTGGCCAGTCCACAGTCCGGAAGGCAAGCTGATTGTAGTTTTCAGCAGCCCCCAGCCAGCCACAGCTACTGGAAAGCGGCTGGCAAAAAAGCCTCTGAAAAGGCTTCTTTGCCAGTCGCTTTTTCTGCAGGCTGCCAAAACATACCAGCTGCTGCTGTTGCTGCCATGTTCTTTGCGCATGTGCATCCCATTGAACTTGCAAGGCAATGGGATGCGTGTGCGTGAAGAACATGGCGGTGATGAACATGGCGCCCGGGCAAGTGACCGGCGACCGGGGGAACCGGTTTCGGGGCATGGCCAGCTGGCCACCATTACCGGTTCTGCGACCTTGACCAAATTTCCACCAACAGTTCGCACAAACCGGTCCGAACCGGTAGCAACCACCACTGCCCCACTTACTGGCCTAGTATCTTGGCTGCTATGAATATTTATTCTGAATGTTTCTATTGTTTTTAATTGTTTCTATTGTTTTAAAATGTTTTAGTAGTTTGATTGCAATATATATATTTGAATTATAAACCACCCAGAATTATTGACGAAGAGACTATGGAAATTGAATGAATGAATGAATGAATGAGAGAGTGAGTAAGTAAAATCTACCTTAATAAATGCCTAATAAATGCCTTCTGTTCTTGAAGAGCGTCTGAAAATTGCAATCAACACAAAATATAGCAGTTACAACAGCATTTCTCAATGTCAGAAACTGAACTTCAACTCCCAGAATTCCTCAGGCAACTACAGTGGTTCTATAATGCCTCTGATGAAAGATCTGTTTCCAAAGTCCTGAGTGTCTTAGTGTTGACCTTTAACGCTCTGAATGGCTCAAAATTTCTTCATCTGAAGAACTTTCTTCATCTCATAAAGCTATTGAAATCACAAAAAAAGCCCTTTGAAGATTACCATCCTGCTGTTGTCAGAAGCATAACGTTTGAATATTCTACTAACTCAGGACTTCTCTTAGTGAATCTGTAGCTGTGGAATGTGCTCCCTTTTAATCAGTCTAATTTTTTAGCCTTGATTGCTAAAAAAAAAAAAAAAAAGTTGGAATAGAACTCCAATAAATAAATGATTAAATAATAAATTTCTGAAGTATTTTCAAGAAACATGAATGTTCTGGTTGATCTCTTTCCAATGTGTAATATGTAATTTATACAGTTATTTGCTTTTGGATTATTTATCCTCTCTTAAGTAATATTTATTTTTTAATAAATGTAGATATATCGTTATTAAATATGTATTGATATAGTTCTACAGGTCTCTAAATTGTACCCTGTTGTTTCTACATATCGTTAAAAACACATATTTATACACATTTTATATCAAATTGTTTTGTAAATCCAGTCATAGGAATTAATTTGCAGGAATGTATTTGATTAGAAAGTAGATCACATCAAGAGCAAAATTGGCATGTATTTTAGGTCTGTATCCAATTATACTATCTTCTTTATACTCAATTTTGGATCTCTTAATTGTTTCTACAAACATTGGATATTTCAAATATTCTTTATTGTACAGTATCTGTTGCTGTCAGTTTCTTTTCCTAACCTTTTGGATGTCATACACCAGGGATGTCAAACTCAATTTCATTGAGGGCCAGATCAACATTGCGGTTGTCCTTGGGGGGCTGGGAGATGAGGAACATGGCTGGGGTGGTTGCGACTGACTGGGCATAGCCTGGAGGGGGGGGCATGACCAGCTTGACATTGCTCATGTGGGGGACACTTGTGGGGGTTGCGCAGGGTTGGGGAGGGAATTCCTCACTTCCTAATAGTTTCATATGAGAATTCTACTCCTAGCAGAAATCTGTAGCCAAAGCACTGATTCAGCTCACAATCTTGTATAATTTCTTAGTTGCCGCAGCCATTTTATCTCTTCATTTTAGACTTTGATGCATTTTCCTTTTGTTATATTAGTTCTTGGGACCACTTTGAATTCCAAGCTGGTGCTGGGAGATTTATTTTTGGCACCATGGCTAAATTCACATATTAATGTTAAGCTAGATTTTTGTTAAACTGTAGTACTCTGGTTTGTGTATAATGCTAAAACATGAAAACTAGATTAATATATCATATGAAGACAGAAAGGATGGTGTGATGGCTCAGCTGTTAAGACACTGGGCGTGTTGCCTGGAAAGCCAGCAACCCAGGTTCAAGACCTGAGCACCACATGATGGGATGTCCTCACACCAGTTCCTCCAACCTAGCAATTTGAAAGCATGCAAATATGAGTAGATAAGTAGGTATAACTTTGGTGAGAAGGTAGCGGTGCACCGTGATATCATGCTGGCCACATTACTGCAGAAATGTCTTCAGACAGCGTTGGCTCAATGATCTTGAAATGAAGATGAGCAACACCCCCTATAAATGCAATGACTAGTGGAGTAAAATCCGCAGGGACTCCTTTACCTTTTCTACAAAGATAGTAATAAACAAATATTATAGAGTAACATCCTATGTTAACTAGGCCTATGACTGTTGGCCTCTTATGGTTTCATCTTGTCTTTGTATTTAATATTTATGTGAATCTGAGGAAGAGATTTCAGGGTTTTTGTCAGAACTCTGATGACACCCAACTTTATATCTTTTCTCCATTTCAATATAAGAAAACTGCCCACATTCTAATTTGATGACTGAATCTGACAATCAGGAGTGTCTATAGTGTAATAAAAAGAGTCAAGACAATAGCCATAATGGTACGATTGAAGCTCTGCCAATTATTATTATTTTTTGGTCTGACTGTGTGTGTCACATAAAATTGATGCATACTCTAATCCATGGTTGTCCAACCTTTTGGCTGTGCATTGCTGCATTGAATAAGAAGAACTGTCCTGGGCCACATATAAAATATATATTTAATGTACATAAATAACAAACAATTTTTTATTTTTATTCATTTGTGGGGCCAGATTACTGTCTGGGTCACATGACGCCCATGGGCCATATGTGGACACTATGTCCAAACAGTTTCTGATCAGTTAAATAAAATAATCAGAAATCAGGGGTTTTATTTAAACTAGACTCATAGTTTGGATGTATTCTTCAATTCAGACATGAATATGGATGATGAATTTTCCTGCTGGTTTATGGTATATTTGGTCTCTCTTCTGTGCCAAATGCTCCATTCTTGAAGATACCAGTAATTGCTGTCTGAATAAATTACCTTCAAGGCTTAGCAGGTTAGGTGATGGTTTTGATATCAGGCAGGCATTTGCATATTTATGCAGTTCTATGGGAACAACTCCCTTAATCAGTGGAATAAATATATAAACAATTAGTTTCTCACCCCTCTATGGCCACCTAAAAGTTTCTCATACTTGGCAGCTTTCCAGTTATCTGGAAGACTTCTAGGTGTCTGCCTATGTTGTCTTTCATTGAATTCTTCAGCCAAGGTGTTAAAATAATAAACATGTAACACAGCAGTATGTGTATGAGAGACAATCTGCAAGTTTTTTAAAGGACTTATTTACAAACAAATGGTGCCCTGTTATCTCAGCAGCCCCCAATCTTTCTGGCTCTGCGGATTGACAGTTGCAGCAGGGAGTAAGAGTGGATGGTTTCACTCTGGTTTGTATATGCGTCTGATTCTGATGAGTATTATTGTATTGGTTAGGCATGAAACCAGCAGAGTAACCTTGAGCCAGCCACTCTCAGGTCTTGAAAGAAAGCAATGGCAAGCCACTTCAAAAAATCTTCCCAAGAAAAATTCAGGGGCTAGTCTAGTGATCAGGAATAAAAACTAACTTGAAGCCACAAAAATAAGTAAAAATATTTTTAATTTAACATTGTATTCCAAATGTTTAAAATTTTGTGTTGACTCATGATATTGTACCTAAAAGTACAATATTCTGCCAGCAGAAATCACTCTCTCTCTCAGAAAAAGCTTTTGTTCATTTATTTTTCTAGTGCAAGTTTATTTTGTGAGAAAGGTGAACCAAATTATGAGTTCTATTTTAATGTAACTAGATAACAATCTTACATTTAGCATAATGATTGAGCGAATATTATTTGACAGGTTCAACTAAATAACTACAGTATATATTGTTAAATATGTCTGTAGAAGTGGGGAAAAAAGACTTGGCAAAATTCATTACAAAGATAAAATTATTTAATTTGAATGAAATCTTAAATATGCAATCCTATACTATGTAAATCAGATCCTGAAATTCTGTCATGCTGCTTGGATTAATTTATGAATAACAGAGCGTGTAATGTTATTTCTCTTCTCTTAAATCTATAAAAACTCTAAATTGATTAAGCCATCACTTACTAAACATCACATTTATAACTCTACTTTTCACAATTAAAATTATATAGTATATTTTTACAGCATTTGAAATATTAATTGATGAAAATATAAGTAATTTCTAATACCAAAAATCCTTCACGTATTGGCAGAAGTTTTCATATTGAAATGAAGTATTAACATAACCAAGATATTCTTCTAACAGTTTAGTATTCCTGAATTTAGGACAGGAAATATTATGAACTATTCCATGAAAAAATAGAAAGGTTTATTTTTATGGCTATGTACAATATTCATGAAAATTAATTCCTTGTTTTGTAATCTTCATAATTTCTCCATTTAATGAATCATCTTCAAGGATTTTTATCAGTCCTTCAGCAATTAGTGACGGGCTACAAATAAATTCATATGACATAAATTAGACAAGGCTGACTATAAATATTAGAAATCATTTCATATTTCCTAAACTATTAAAAGGAAAAATAAACAAATTTCTGTCTTTGCAATGATAAATATACTTGAGGACCAGTCAGTTAAATAATGGTGTAATCTAAGATTTTTATTCATTTTCCTATCATAATGATAAAAAAGCAGATATTTTATATGACAAAACTTATAGTACTTTTAATACCGGATAAAATATTCTGATATTTGTCTCTGGGATCTTGCAAGAATCGAAATAAAAGTCAGTTATTAAGCTTATACATGCCTCACTCATTCATCTGAAACAATTACAGGTAGTCCTTAACTTACAACCATTTGTTTAGTGACCATTCAAAGTTACAACAGCACTAAAAATGTGAATAATGTCCATTTTTCACACTTAACAACATCCCATGATCATGTGATCAGAATTTGGATGTTTGGTAACTGCTTCATATTTATGATGGTTGCATTGCCTTGGGATCACGTGATTCCTTTTTGCAACCTTCTGACGAGCAAAATCAACAGGGAAGCCAGATACACTTAGCAACTGTGCTACTAATTTATCAACTGCAGTGAGTCACTTAACAACTGTGGCAACAAAAGTCGTTAAATGGGGCAAAACTCACTTTGTGGTAACTTTGTGATAAGCAATCTTATGTTGCTTAATATGTATTGTTTGCTCCTTGGGCCATTATGGCTATTGAAGGAACTGTATTTAAGGGTGATGCTAAGTACACTATTTTTAAGGATTTGTCAAAGCTGTACCTCCCACAAATATAACCTGTTATCTATGAGCGTCTGAAGTTGCAATCACTTAATCTAATCTTCAGTTTAAAGATGTATTCCAAGTTTAAGTTCCGTATTTCTATTAATTTCCTCTTATTCTTTTTAAAATCACAATACTTTTCAAATGAAGAATTTGAAAAAGTGGAAAACACCATTTGAACCAAGGACATTCCAAGAAAAAGCTAGTGTAGAAAATGCAACAGTTGCGCTCACACAAAATACTAAACTAAATAAACAAACAAAATATATATGCTTGGTTCGGATCTTATGGACTATGATTTAATAACTGGCAGGTGAATGCAAAGCTATGATCTATATTCTATGATCTATATTCTATATTATCCCAGGTGCTGGTTTAGTTGCTTTAAAAAACCCTGTCATGCATGTAATTACTGAGACAGCCAAGTAGAAGTATAAAATAAAAATTCTCTTTGAATCAATGTAGGTAGCCTGCAACCATATGGACATGTGCACATAGTCTTCTTGGCAGCACTATGGAAGTATATAATTTTCATTGAACTACAGACATTAAGTAGAACTGCATAATTTTTACTCACTCCAAAATGCCATAGAATTCCATCTTATCTTTGATTTCTTCTTTGAATGAATAATATAAACCCATATATTCTTCCTGGAAAGCGGTATGAAGAATTGGTGTGTTGACAAAACCAGGACAGATAGCATTTATTCGTACACCATAATTTTTTGCTCTAGCAGCCAGCTGCAAAACAGGAAACTATATTATGTACTATTGTTGGGATATGGTAAGAAAACATTCTTTATATGGAAAAAAATATCAGGTTCTGTCTCTGACATCTTTAATTCAAAGGAACATTAAACAAACATGTAGGAAACTATGCTGAGCACAGTAGGAAATATCAGAAGAATAAATAATCTTATATGAAATACAAAACAGTTCCTAAATTTATATTGTCTACTGAATTTACAAATACTGTTTCATTCAACCAACAATAACATATTTTTTTATCATTTATATTTTTGTGCTGTTACTATGTAGTGTTTTAGTGACTCCTGATTCTTTTGATCCAAAGGACTTCATTTCTCCAGGAGTTTCTATCAGTAATTGTTTCTAAACTCATATTTCTGTCATCAATGATTATATAGAACCACATAGACTTCAGTGGCCTTTTCCCAATTGCCTTCAATTTTTACAGGCATAATGTGAATGTAATGCAATTTCCATTGAGCTATGCTTTTACCTTATGCATATAAAATAGGTAAAACTTAGCTTCATTATTCCAGTAAGCAGTCTAGTTTTACTTCATCACATACTGAAGATTTGTTTTCTTTGTGATCCAGAATAATACCAAAAATTCAAAGGCTTTTCTTTTTTCATTCTTCCTAAGGATCAATCTTTCACAACCACATATTACAACCAGGAAACAATGACCTTTGTTGTCAGCTTGATGTCCTTACACTTTAATATTTCGTTCAGTACTTTCACAACCTTTCTTCTAAGCAATACACATCTCTTTATTTCATAGCTACAGTAATTGTACCTGTAAATGTTTAGCCTAGCAAAATAAACACTATTACAGTTTTTATCTTTTTTTACCTATTTGCAATGGACTATTGCACCAGCACTGACTGTTGACATACTATAATCTTACATTTGGTGGGATTCTACGGATCCTTATGTTTTTGCACTCTATTTTTAATCTATATGCTGTCATGCACACATACAAAATATCATTTGTGAGTTATGTTCCTGCTAAAGGAAAAGTTTTCTTAACATTGATTTTATTTTAATGAGAACCTCAGAAAATCTTCAGTTAATCAAATCTGAATTGTGTGTGTGATTGTGTGTATGTGTGTGTGAAGGAAATGGAAATGTGGGGTTTATCCAGAAGAGAGCAAGACTTTTTTCCCACTAGTTATACTCACAGCCACTGAACGTGTAAATCCAATTACTCCATGCTTTGAAGCAGAATACACTGGTTGGTATGCAACTGGCCACAGCCCTTCAATGGTAAAAAGAAAATCAGAATTTTAAAAAGAACTTTAATGTAACTACTTGAAAAAAAATGAAGAAAACTGTAAAACTATATGGTTTCTTTATATTATTCCATGAATTGACAATAGTTAGGCATTCAAAGAATAGGGTTAAAAATGGTTCATTTTTATTAAAGCTAGTATTCTTTGGATTTGATCCCAAAAAAGTGTTGGAACATGACACCTGTTTGCAATATTTTAAAATAGATCTTTTCCAATGCCTTTTGGACACTGAATCTGAATCTTAAACTCTACAGCCATTTTGACCACCACTCAAAAAAGCAATTATGAACAATGTTTTAAAAATGTATCATGTGAGAAGAAGTAGAGGAGAAACATAGCTCTAATGCTATGATTGTACTTTTATTTCACAAGAATTATTTTCCCAAAATTTCATTTATAGATACTTTAGAGATACACATTACAGTGTTTTCTGTAAATTGTGTACAGATATTTAACTTTAACTGATTGATTTGTAAAAAAACAGCCCTAAAATGTCAATGAGTAGAAGAATAGTATCACAATATAAAAGCAATCATATTTATGTTTACTTTGTAGGATGTGAAATCATAGAAGTAGAAAGAAATAGGATAGAAAGATAAGGTGAAGTAAAAGAAAAATACTTCCTCTCTATGTAGATTTTTCCCACCATAGCAATTCACAATGTAAATTTACACAGTGGGAAGCGTGTTTTGCTGCCTTGATCTAGAAGTATGGACAAGTTTAAATCAGTATTTGTTAGATAAGAGCTTCCTGCTTTTCCTTGTAAAATATGTCCTGAAATAGTTTGAGCCCAGCTACATCTATACAAAATACACTTTATAAGCTTTGATCCTGTTGATATATTTCCCACTGTCCATCATTAAATAGAAAATCATTGGTTCATTGAAAATAAAATAAAAACAGTTTCAAATTACAATAAGGCCAACTTTTTATTAATTAAACAAAATTAGAGTAAATTTTTTATTTCTAATGAAATGCATTGGATATAATGAGGAATATTGTCATTTTTATCTCTCTCAAATCTCCCTCTTTGATACATGCAATATAGAAGAAAGCTATCACTTCATACCTTTTTCTAATTGTATCTTGCTCTGCAGCACATTATATTACAATATGGAAGGCCCTACTCTGAACATTATCTCAAATGGGACTTTGGCCTTAATAGGAAATATGCTTAAGCTAAATTTGCTATGCTATGCTATGCTATGCTATGCTATGCTATGCTATGCTATGCTATGCTATGCTATGCTATGCTATGCTATGCTAAATTCTATGCTAGCTTTACTATTGTCCATCTTTTCACAATGGCAAAATCAAAAAGGTTTACATAAAGAAAGGAAGGTCTACAAAAATGCAAGGGTCTGAGGAATTTCAGGACTCAGGTTAAGTTTGCTCATAATTCATTGTCAATATAATTAAAACCTGTTGACTTCAAGGAAATATTATATTAAACAATATAGAGAACCTAGATTCTTCATAAAACAAAACAAAAGTGACAGGTTGTTCTGGAAATTGATGTCATAATAATCCAGTATATTTATTCCAAATATTCAACTTTCATTCTAGATCTGATGCTTCTTAATAATCTCATTAATCTGTAATTTCTCTCCAGATTGTCTAGCAGTATATCCTTTCCTTAAAACAATCCAAGATGCCCACAATACTGGAATCAGGAAGCAAGTAGCTAATTCTAGACTGATTCTGGAGAAAAACAAAGAATTAAGTCTTATAGAGCCTTCAGGCTCAGCACCCAATGACAGTTTTCTTTTCTTTTAAGTCTTTTGACAAAAATCTGAACAATAAAGTCTATTTCTCTGAGTAGAAAAAAGGTTATTATTTTCCAATGTATAAGTAAGTTTATCGATTATCAATATTTCTGAATATTTTCCCCAAACTTTATGATTAGAAGTTATTTTAATTTCTATTAATTAATAGCAGAAAGGATTCCAGAAAAATCATAGTACAAGTGACCATTATACCATTATAACAGAATGTTCATCCTAAAACAGAGGTCTCTAAACTTGGCAACTTTAAGACTGGTAGACTTCAACTTCAGCATTTGTGGCTGAGGAATTCTGGGGGTTGAAGACCACAAGTCTTAAAATTGCCAAGTTTGGAGACCCCTGTCCTAAAAGAACATTTCTTTGATGTGCTTACTGATTTTAAATAAATAGTTTACTCAGTTGGTAAATAGATTATAGGAAAGGGAATGGTATACAAACATTTGTGGCTAATGAAGTTTTCATTAGTAATCTACTCCAAAATATCGACAAAGTGATAACTGGCCATCAGTCTCCTTTTTTGAAAATAAAAGACTTCTATGGAACTATTTATTGATAGCATTCTGTTTTTTCCTAAATAAACTATATGCTATTTCTGTTCTCTACTATTTAATAGTTATAGAATCATGACTTTGATGCATCTTGGTTATAACTTTATTTTTGAGGGGAAGTTAGGATTAAAAACAATGCTGATCAGATTGTCAAACCCCTCAAGTACAGAAGCTCAGAGTATTAACTAGAGAAGAACAAAAGTGATGGTATTTGGTAGCAGAAATATTAAGCAGAAATAGATTATTCAAGTTTGACTTCCCTGAAGTTTCTGGATTTTACTTTCTGTAAGTCTTTATCCTAGAAGACACACATTTGGAAATGGCTAGTGAACAGTGAATCATCTTAAAAATTATCTTTGAAGAAAGGAGAATTGGGGGAAATAATTCCGGTCCTTTTTCAGGCCAACATTTATTTTTCTTGACTTGTTGATTGTTATTCTCATCTATAATTGCTTGACTAAACCATATCCTGTTCTCTGTGGCTGGTATTATTAGTTTTTTTGTATTTATGTAAGGTTTTCCTTTCATAGTATAACTTCCCTTTTTGCTTAAACTGGAAATAATAATGTTTAATAGTCACACATTCTCAAGCTTTAAATAATACCTCATTCAAAAGTAAGGAAACATAATCATTAAAAAAAAGGGTTTTCAGCCCCCTTTGCACTTCATATCCTAATGCAGAGTCTTATTAATGTATACTCAAAATAATATCATTGACCTCAACAGAATTTATTGCAGGTGTATGGATATTAGTTTGCAGGTTTCTAAGTGTATGTCAGGAGGACCAGACAGGAAACATAACCAAGTAAGCTAATTCTACTTTATTGTAAAGCTACTGTACATCAATAGAATCTTGCAAGTCTGAAAGTACAAGTTTCTCGCTGGCTCGTTTACAGGAGGAGTCCCTTCTGATCACATTTTCCTGCCCATTTTGCAGCTGTGGGTTATTGCTGTCTCTTATCTGACTGTTCCATATCCAGCATGTTTTACAACCCATCTCCTGAGGTGTTTCACATTACCATTACAGTCTATGTGAATGTCAGGAAATCTCATCACTTAAAAGGAAATTTGTGCATCATTTGGAGAAAAACGAAAGATTTTTATAATAGTATTCTTTTATTAAACTGTATATTCTGCTCTATCACTAAAAGATTATAAATTTATGAAACAAAGCATACATAACAATTAGACAGCTAAGAGATTTCATAATTTGGATATGGAGAACTATAGAAAAATTTTGATGTATAATTTTACATTATTTTTATTATATGAACCTATTATAGATATGAACTGGTGTGTATAAACGTACACATGTTCATATCTATGTTATACACACACACACACACACACACACACACACATACTATGCTATGCTATGCTATTATACTTCATTTTACTGCCCTGTAATTACTTAATTTGGGGTAAAGACGGGACAACTGGATGGAGCTGTACTACTAATATACAGTATGAAATGGAGTAACTATTATTAAAAGCTAAAGGTTCCCCTCGCACATATGTACTAATCGTTCCCGAATATAGGGGGCAGTGCTCATCTCCGTTTCAAAGCCGAAGAGCCAGCACTGTCCGAAGATGTCTCCGTGGTCATGTGGCCGGCATGACTAAATGCCAAAGATGCACTGAACACTGTTACCTTCCCACCAAAGGTAGTCCCTATTTTTCTACTTGCATTTTTTACGTGCTTTCGAACTGCTAGGTTGGCAGAAGCTGGAACAAGTAATGGGAGCTCACCCCGTTACGCAGCACTAGGATTCGAACTGCTGAACTGCCGACCTTTCGATCAACAAGCTCAGTGTCTAAGCTACTGAGCCACCGCATCCCATAAACTATTGTTACCTAAACTTTAAGGGAAGATCCAACAAGTCCTCTTTACTTTAATTAACACTGAAAACACTATGCAATGACAAATGAAGCCAAAATAAGAGATTCATATAGGCTATAACATTCAATTCAAGTTGCTGACTTTTAATCCAGTTTTGTTTAGAACAACAGACAGTCTACATTATATAACAGCAAGTGTGCATATTTAAGTCACATTTACATTCTCATTCTGTGTAAGAAAACCTGGAGTGTCCTACAACCATACAAAATTAAACAGCAGATGGTTAATTATGCTTTTTTAATTAATTATGAGAATCATAATCAACAGGTTATCATGGGATCAACAAGTTATAGTTTAATTTGTTATATTCTATTTTAACATGGGCATTTGTAATTAAAGTGATTGCTAGAAGAGAGCTCACTAAGGACCTTTTGTCCAGCAGTAAAATGTGATCACTGGCTCAACCAAATGGTAAAAACATGTTTCTGCTAAAGGTATAAACTACAAAGAACAAGGAACAATTTATCAACAGAAAAATTAGACTGTCTTGTGGATCTATATTTACATGCAAGTTGTAGTGTTCTAGAAACTATTACATCTTATGCATTAATTCTAAAAGTCCAGTGCAAATATAAACTAGATCTGCAAATTTCAGCTAGGTTTGTAAGCAGGTTCTACCTAATACTTACAGGTGGGGGGAGGGAAATTATTCTTATGAATAAGTTTATTTCTGATGTACAGTATATATTTTAACTCACTGATTGACAATATATTTTAGGTACTTCAGATGGATAATCTGAACCGCAAATCACCTGAACATATTCAACATTTATAGAAATTCCCTGTACCTCAAAGGGTTTAGGATTAGGATAAATTGAACTTAGCCATTTCATTTTTTCCTTATGTTTTTTTTAATTATTAACACAATGGTACAACCTAAAGAGAAGCCTTAGATGAGGCCTTTCTTAGGCTCTAGATAACTGCACACAGGAGGGAACTGTTCAAAGATGTCAATATTAAAAGTAACACAGATTTAAAATCTACAGATTTAATGGAAGCATGTGCAGATGGCAAAGTTCTAGAAAAAGATCATTAGATCGATTTGAGGCAGTTTGGATTAATTTGGATAAAGTCTTTGGCAGTGCCTCAAGTATTAACTAGCAGTTCCAATAGTGAAAGCAAAGAAACAACATAAATTGCCTTAACAATGTCCTTTTAAATGTGCTTTAATCTTTGATTATCAGTTTCTAGACAGTAGTCGTACAAAAATACAGCTCATTTTTTTGAGTGTTGTAATTTTTCAAGTAGGCTACACTAGACAGGCCAAGTGAAGCAGTATAGTCATGTTATGTGTTATTGTCTTATCTCTCCTCAATTTTAATTCTGAAATTTTGTTGGGTCTTCACCTTGTCCAGGTTGTATGCACTATCCTCCAGAATTCCTCATTCCTTTTCAGCAGCGATTATGCCCTTTGGAGATGGTTGTAGGAATCCCCTAGCCTCATGTTCCTTTGTGACCCTTTCTACAGGGGAACATATAGATCTCATTTTGAAAAATTATCCTGGTAGAGAATACAAGGCTTGACTTTCACTGCTTCTGTCCAACCAGGACCCTGACATATATTTCCCACTTTTGCCTGATTTTGTGCTATCATTTCAGTCTATGAATGAAGTTTAGTACAAATAAGGAGCCTAACTGGCGCAGCAGACTAATGCTACTGTTAAAGGTAGTATTTAGCTTCCAGCTGCCTGCAATTACTGCGAGTTCAATTCTCACCAGGCTCAAGGTTGACTCAGCCTTCCATCCTTTCTAAGGTAGGTAAAATGAGGACCCGGTTTGTGGGGGCAATAAGCTGACTTTGTATAAATATACAAAAGTATGAAGGCTATTGCTTAACGCCTTGTAAGCCGCCCTGAGTCTCCGGAAAAGGGCGGCATATAAATCAAAATTAAAAAAAAATAAAAATATTGGTGATTGTCACTTTATTATTGTTCCTTTTATTTTATTTTATGTATTTTATTGCATCTTATGTCTACTTTTTAGTTTTGTTAATTACAGGTTTATATATTTTTATTGTAGTGTTTACTGGCTTAAATATTATAAAGGTTTTTTGATTGGATTTTATTGTTAAACATACAGGTGGAATAAGGGCCAGGTGGCTCAGCAGACTAAAAGCATTGTGATTAACACCAGCTGTCTGCAATTACTGTAAGTTCGAATCTCACCAGGCTCAAGGTTGACTCAGCCTTCCATCCTTTCTAAGGTAGGTTAAATGAGGACCCAGTTTGTGGGGGCAATAAGCTGACTTTGTATAAATATACAAAAGTATGAAGGCTATTGCTTAACGCATTGTAAGCCGCCCTGAGTCTCTGGAGAAGAGTGGCATATAAATCAAATTTTTTTAAAAAAAATGCTTTAAAAGCAGTTTCAAAAGAATGCTTCACTTAAAGCCTTATAAACCAATATTTTTTCCTTTGAAGCTCTGCATAAACCTAGTAATCAGAAAACTATATTTCCCCACTAAAATCTTTTAATGCTTTGAAACGTTCTACTGTTTCATATCTTTAATCTCATAATTAATGCTGTAACTTCTTCTTTACAAGCATATTTTCCATAACAATTATCTTTGGATATGCGTAAGTCAGCTCTAACAGAAGTCAAGATTCAGAGAAACAAAGAAGGACTAATAAATCAGAAAGAAATGCTTGGCCAAGAGCAAGAAAATGTTAATATTAACTGTTGCAGGAGAAGATAAGAGAATAAGATATACACTCTCTGAGAACCATTTCACTCCAATGGGATTGGTTCACCCTACCATGCTGGCAGAAAGAGCATGCTGTGGGTGTTGGTCAGAGAATTTTGGTTGGTGGGGTCCAAGATAAAAGCTTTTTCTGCTAAGCCTCCGGCCCTTTGGAACAATGTACATCCCTCCTCCCCCAAGGTGAGAACTACTCATCTACTGTAAGGGTCTGAAGACCTGGTTCTACCAGTTGGTCTCAGGCCCCACAGGGGTGCAACACTCTGGAAGTCCCTATTGAGTTAAGAAAAGCCTCCCATCTCTTCCAGTGTACTTGGTGCTCTTTTCCCCTCCCCATCTTTCAACTATAAATTATCATTATTATAATAATTATTTTTTTATGTTTGTAAGTTTCCCAGAGCTGCCTATAAATGAGATGAGCAACACTCAAATCAAATCAAATCAAATCAAATCAAATCAAATCAAATCAAATCAAATCAAATCAAATCAATAAATGCAAAATCACGCAGCCTGAAATTCAGGGTATGTAGACCAAATAATATTATTTTTCCACACTTCAGAATTTCACAAATAAAGGCCTGCTAAATGCATAATGGCTGGTGATGGAACTTACCAGCCTGCCTAAACTATATTAGAAGAAGCATCAGAAAAGAAGCTGAATTAGAGCCCCCCATCCAAATCTTAATTATGTTGCTGTAGATGATTACAATGGTTTGGATGTAGATTTTACATTGTGTTTGGGAATTAAATATTAACTCATGCCTTTAAAAATAAGGTATAAAGTATATTTTTACCTGCTAATGATGCTGTATTAATAATAGCCCCTCCACTTCCACCATTTTCAATTTTCATGTACTCTAGTCCAATATATGTTCCTCTAATCACTGAAATCTGATATAGAAAATATAAATGAGTTATCAGGTATATTTAATTCTTATAGCTGTTTTTAAAAATAATGTTTCACTGTGAATCTTGAATCATTTTAAAAACAGTTTTCCAATGCTTCTTTCCTCTTTTGTGACCCATTTAACATTATTTCTCATTCTATGCGGAATCTTTCTTTTGATCTCCTTCCAATCTTGTAATATGTATTTCTTTTTAATATACATGTGATTCTGAGTGTTATTTGATTGCTTAATAGACGCCAAAGGTATTTTTTATATCTGCCAGCTAGCTATAGATGAGCTCCACACCTTTCAAAATGCCAAGGCTCTTGTAGCTATCATGTAGGAGTTTCAAGCTTTTTATCAATTTCCCCCATGTTTCCACATGTTATTCTTTTATTAAAAGCAATAATTCCTTGTGATAAGTAACTAAAATAGTCCTGAAGACTTATCACTTTTATGCTATAATATTTGTTTCAGTCAAAAATGAATGGTTTCATGATTGGGGAGATCATACAGAAAAAAAAAATCAACAGATGGACATACAGCTAAAACCAAGCATGTATTGAAAAAGCTATTTTGAAAGTGTCAGTGATTCAATGTATCACATTTTGTATATTATTCTATGAATTAATTATTAAATCCATCATACTTTTTATTCTCTCTGCTGACATTCTTGAACTAGTAGCATAATAACTACTTCTGGGCCAGTTTGTTCTTAACAATAGACATGGAAGAACTCTTTGTAGTTAGTCATCAAACAGTATAATACTCTCTCACCAATCATTTTGGATGGATTGGATAATCCTTCTGATGCAATTATAATTTGTCATAATAAATAACACTAGCAATAATAGGCAAGCAAAAGCAAGTATGCATTGGGAGGAGCAGACATATATAAGTCAACTGTCAGCACTGGAAATAATTAAGCTGAAAATGAATATCTTTTAAAAATGAAATTGTCTTTGTGGGACAACAGATTAATAGAGTTGGAAGAGACTTTGTAGGTCATCTCATCCAACCCCCCACCCAAGCAGGAGACCCTACACCATTTCTGACAGATGGCAGTCCAGTCTCTTCTTGAAAGTTTCCATGATGAAGCTCCCACAACCTCTGAATGCAAGCTGTTCCATTGGTTGATTGTTCTCTCTCTCAGAAAATTTCTCCTTAGTTTGCATCCATTATTCCTTGTCTGGCCTTCAGGTGCTTTGGAAAATAGCTTGATCCCTTCCTCTCTGTGGCAGCCCCTCAAATATTGGAACACTACTATCATGTCTCCCCTGGTCCTTTTCTTCACTAGACTAGCCATGCAAAGTATTTGCAACCGTTCATCGTATGTTTTAGCCTCCAGTCCCCTAATCAATTTGGTTGCTCTTTTCTGTATTTTTTCTAATGCATTTTTTATAATGTGGTGACCAAAACTGAATGCAGTATTCTAGGTGTGGTCTTACTAAGGCTTTATACAGTGGTATTAGTACCTCACTTGAACTTTATTATATCCCTCTGTTAATGCAATTTTATTTATTTATTTATTTGTTTGTTTGTTTATTTATTTATTTTTTTAAATTTCTATACCGCCCTTCTCCAATATAGGACTCAGGGCGGTGAACAGCCAAAGTAAAAACAAGACATACAAAATCTAAAAACTGTTTAAAATAATTAAATATTTTGGCCATAATTAAAACAATTCCAATTTAAAATCAGTTTAAAATTTAACTCAAGCCAGCCCAGCTAGTTGAAATAAATGGGTTTTCAGGGCCCGACGAAAAATCCGGAGGTCTGTTATTGTACGTATCTCTGGGGGGAGGTTGTTCCAGAGGGTGGGCGCCACCACAGAGAAGGCTCTCCCCCTGGGGGTCGCCAGCCGACATTGTCTGGAGGACGGCACCCTGAGGAGGCCCACTCTGTGTGAGCGTACTGGTCGGTGGGAGGCTATTGGTGGCAGAAGGCGGTCTCGTAAATACCCCGGCCCTGAGCCGGGGATTTAGGATTGCACTGGCTTTTTTGGCTGCCATTGCACACTGTTGGGCTCATATTTAATTGGTTGTGCACTAAGATTCCAAGATCCCTCTCACAGTTACTGCTATTAAGCCTGCTTTCACCCAATTTATATGTGTACTTTTGTTTTTTCTTGCCTAAGTGCAAGACTTTACTTTTCTCTACACTGAATTTCACTTTGTTAGATAGGTCCCAGTGTTCAAGGGTATCAAGATCCATCTGGATCTAGAGCCTATCCTCTAGGGCAGGGTTAAACTCGCAGCCCACGGGCCAGATGCATCACACATTGGCCATGCTCACACCCGATTTAGCAAAGGGGGGGAAGTCCCGATACGCCACATGACACCATCGTGACGATGCAAGTTTGACAGCCTTGATCTAGGGTGTTGGCTATTCCTGCCGGCTTAGTATCATCCACAAATTTGGTAAGTTCCCCTTCTATTGCCTCATCTAAGTTGTCTAACTATCACAGTAGCAGAAAACAAATTCAGAAGGCCTTAGTTTAAATCTGATTTCTTAGCTCAAAGGTATCAACAATCAGCCAATCTATTATTCAGAGTACTGAGTTAACTTGCTGTAAGATAGTTATATTCTTCACTTTTGATGAAATATAAATATAAATATAAATATAAATATAAATTATATATATATATATATATATATATATATATATATATATATATATGTGTGTGTGTGTGTGTGTGTGTGTGTGTGTGTGTGTGTGTGTGTGTAGGTCTTTGGTTATTCGGGTTATCTCCCGCGTAAAATTGGAAGTGTCTTGGCGACGTTTCAACGAAGTCTCATTCGTCATCTTCAGGCTGGTGTTTTTGGCTTCGTGCTCCTAGAAGCATGAAGCCAAAAACACCAGCCTGAAGATGACGAATGAGACTTTGTGAAAATGTCACCAAGACACTTCCAATTTTACGCAAGAGAAAACCTGAATAACCAAAGACCTACATACAAACACCCGCGAAAACCTCAGAACATATGTATGTATGTATGTATGTATGTATGTATGTATGTATGTATGTGTCTTGGCAACGTTTCAATGAAGTCTCATTCGTCATCTTCAGGCTGGTGTTTTCGGCTTCGTGCTTCTAGGAGCAATGTGTGTGATCGCAGCTGTTTCTTCCTTTTAACTGCCAGTGGGGGTGTGAACTGATTGGGTGGGAGCTTGGCTTTGTTCTGATTGGGTGGAGGTATGTTCTGATTGGATGGGGGGTTGGCTGTGCTCTGATTGGCTGGGTGTGTGTTCTGTTTAGGTGGGGGCTTGGTTGTGCTCAGCTTAGTCTGAGTTGCAGGGGGGATTTGAGCTGGTGAGCTGTGTTGCTGTTGTTTGGCTTCGTGTTCGTGGCTGTGCCATCTCTTCATGGTGGGTGTCAGTCTGCTTCATGTATGGATTGGAGGGGTTTAAAGTGGCTAATAATGCAGCTGTGGTCTGGCTTCTGGTCCATGGTCGTGCCTCATCATCAGTGTGGGTTTGTACATACAAACACCCGTGAAAACCTCAGAAAACACACACACACACACACACATATAATTTTACTTGAAATAGCAATATTTCAATTTTACACACACAATCACATCTATATAAGCATAAATCTAAATATGTGTGTCTGTATATGCATTTTTATGACTACTCAGGATTGAAATAATAGTTAATTATTAATACTAATAATTATTAAGTTTGATTACAGTTCAGTATAAGTTTTACGTGTGTGTCTCTCTCCCCCTTCCTTCCTCTCTCCTTCTCTCTCTCTCTCCCCACATGTATGGGTGTGCCTTTTTATCAGTCTTGGTTTCTGATGACTGTCAGCACAAGTACCTGAAATTTTATTGACAACATTTGGAAGTGATTTGACAAAGTGGCTGCCATGTGGAAATTATTTATATAAGACTAGAACATATCTGTCTAGTCTTATTAGGTATCTATTTGTTGCTGTTCATTCCAAAACAATATCAAATGCGGCTGTAGGACTTGAACATCCTTTGAGGATTTTAACCATAGATGAAAGAATATTATCTGGGTCCCATGTTTTACAGTACCCTTTCCACATATATGACTTTTTTTTTGTACAAACTTCATATCTAACTTTGCTGTGTCCCTGAAATATACTCATTTAGTTTCTGGAGAGCAGAATGTGGTATAGGTATAAACTAAGAGACCTACTGTGTTTACCTGAAAATAAGACATGTCCAGATAATAAGCCCAATCGGGCTTTTCAGCGCATGCGATAATATAAGCAACCCCCGCAAAATAAGCCTCCCCACCAACTACTTACACGCATGCACAGCTGGTCCCGCCATTTCCTCTGGTTGCTTGCCGCACAACCAAAATGAGTTGAGAAGATGAAGCCGGGGGGGGGAAAGGGGGGGAACATGCCCTCCCCTCCCTGTTCTTCATGCCGGCCGAACAGCCCAACATGTCCCACTCCACCCCAATGGCAACAGCAGCCTGGCTGCTTCCCTTCCCCACTGTCTCTTTATTGAGAGGGGTGGCAGGTGGGGTGAGGGAGAAGCAAGACGCATGGAGCGAGACGTGGATCCCCTTGCCGTCTCTTCTCCCCTCCCCCTCGCCGGGCACGGCAGGGCTCCTCCCCTTGTTTAGCCACCCACCCCCTTTAGAATTGCAATTTGGGGCTGGCAGGTGGGGCGTACAAGAAGTGGGACGCAAGTCTTACCTTTCAGGCTCTGTCACTTTCCTCGCTGTTGTGTCCAGGGAAACATGATGTAAAAGAAAACTTTCTCGCAAATTCGAGAAGTTTGACTGAACTCACGAGAAGGTTTTCTTTTATAGCATGCTCGCCACCTCCTGCACCTCCAAAATAATAAGATCTTCCAATAATAAGGCCAAGTCCTTATTTGGAGGGGGGTCAAAAGAAAATAAGACCCTTATTTTCAGGGAAACACGGTATTTATAATCACATGATCCTAGTGCCTCGCTTAGCAACAGAAATTTTGGGCTCAATTGGGGTTGTCAGTCGAGGACTACCTGTATCTCCTCCTCCTCATACATTTAACAATTATAACCATTATTGTGATTGTCCTCATTGCCATTGTTCCTTTCTCTATTGATTAATATCAGTATTATTAACAATTGTTTTTAAATTATTATCTATGTATTTCTTTTTCATCTGCTTGCAGTTATTTATTTATCAAATTTATATAGCCATCCCTCCTCCCCAAAGGGAACTTTATGTGTACTTATAAAGATATAGATATATTTATCTATGTATTGATAGATAAAGCTTCCTGTATATTATTAAAAGGAAGAAGAAAGCAAACATACAGTTAAACGTTAGCAGTATTTTGCAAGTAGTACTATTTTGCAGTGATATAACACTTGAGTGTTTGTCTTGGAAAGAGAGTCGCTCTCTCTTAGGTAGCATAGTGACATTTATCATGATTGCTGCTGATGTGGCATTTATCTAAGGTAATGTTAATTATATTACGTACACTTTGAAGTTATTTCTGGTATTTATTCCTAGCATAAAAGAGGGAGATAATTATATTGGATTCTGAAGGAAGATTTAAAACATTCATCATAACTAGATCTTTGGGGTGGTAGAGGAGGGAGATCTTCTAGCTGCAGTCAGGAATTTTAATAAAGCAAAAATAAAATAATGCCAGGTTTGCGCCAACTGTTTTGTTAACGAAATATTTTATCATTCATTTTATTTTTAAAGAACATATTAAACTAAAGCAAGCGTGAACTTAGGATGAATGCTTTTGATTAGAATCCAGCTGGACTCTATTTTAATCATAAAATTAATTTTATGTTGTTTATTGTATGCTCAATTAATCTTATTAAGCCAGTTTGGTGTAAAACTTAAGGAACCAAGCAAGAGACATGGACACATGAGTTCTAGTCCCTTCTTAAACACAAAGCCAGCTGAGTAACCTTGGGTTATTCATTCTCTGTCAGCTACAGAAAGAAGGAAATACAAAAACTACTTTTAAAAATGTTGCAAGAAAACCTCAGAGACATATCTAGGCACTTGCAAGGATCAAGACTGACTCCTGTCTCTTCTGTGCGCTCTCTCTCTCTCTCTCTCTCTCCCTCTCTCTCTTTCTCCCCCTCCCTCCCTCCCTCCCTCCCTCTCCCTCCCCTTCTCTCTCTCCCTCCCTCCCTCTCTCCACACACACACACAACACAGACTTCATTAAAATTACATTCAGCATAAAAAACTTAATCCATGATTCAGAAGTATGGATTTAGAACAATTGCAAACTTATTCTGTTCAGGTTCAGAAATGAGAAGTAACGTGTACTTGGCTTTACACATTTAGAAATCCAGTCTTTTCTAGTTGTAACAAAAAAGAACAAAAGAAAAAAAAAAGAAAATACACAGGAGCTAGGTGAGCTTGTTGGTTTAGAGACAGAAGCCAAGATGACCTGAGTAAATTTCTTAAATTGTTTTTCTTAGTGAAATAAGGTCAAACTGATATACCAGTACATTAATTTCATATTAATAAAAAGTGATCAGATTTGTTAGTCCAACTCTAGAATAGTTTTCAATAGGTTTCTACATGAAAACTAAAAATTTAGGAAGCTTGACTAATATAAAAATATTCAGGTGTTCTCAGACATCCAGATTCAAAAGTTGCTTAAGAAACATATGCTTGCAGAAAAAATAGCAAATATAATTATTATTAATTTTATATATACTTGGAAGAAAAAAATTAACCCACAAAAATGTAACATTTTTTCTCTAGATTTTTAACTACGCTTCTTTTTTTTCTTTTAAAAATACAGTATGTACTAGACCAGAGGTGGGCGACTATGGCCCTTTTATGACTTGTGGACTTCAATTCCCAGAATTCCTGAGCTAACATGGCTGGCTCAGGAATTCTGGGAGTTGAAATCCACAAGTTATAAAAGGGCGATAGTTGCCCACCCCTCTACTAGACTTACCAAGTTGATTTGAACGGTGTTTTCCCAGTTCGTTTCATCATTCACTCCAGCATTATTGACCAGAATATCCAGATTTCCAAAATGTTGAATTGTTTTCTTAAATGCATCTGTAAGGACATTTGAAATTTATTTCCATAGAATAATATGTAATGATTGATGACAATACCATCAGAACTATGATTGTGCTTTAACAAAGTGAATCCACAGTGATATAATTATAAATATGGCTTTTCAAATCATTCATCATATATATTGATTTAACTTTTATCAATGGAATGCATACCCTAATATATAGACATTTTATTTATCCACATTGGTGAATAGATGTGGTCAAAGCAAAAATGATTTGCAAAGATAGAAAGTTATGAAAAATCTGTAGCGAATGATATTTGGATGTAACGTAAGGAATAGACTTCATTTTCTATTCTCATATCACTTATATCACATACACTTATATGTCGTATATGTGTGTATCTTTACATATAAATCCAGTAAATACAATTGAGCTTAACCCAAACTACTTCTGTGTGGCAAATATATTACTCTACCATAAGTCCTAGATAGCCTATAAGGACTCAAGTGAAAAACTAATACATTCAGAACTAGTGGAAAGTAAAAAAAAAAAATGAAACTTGGAAGAAAGAAGTGAAAGAAGCTGTATGAACTGAAATGAGGGAATGCTAGGAGCAGGATTTTAGAAATACCAGTTAGATATTTGGTGATATAACAACAAATGAAATAGAAGATGTTATAAATATTAGTAGTCAAGAAAGATGTCAGTGAGAAAGATGTCATAAACATGAAAATGTTGAAAAATACTAATGCTGCATGTCTAACAATGCAGCTGAAGAAATGCTAAAATGTAGGGGTAGTTTACTTAAGGAGCAAACTTAAGATTTGCTTAAGGATCTTAAACTTATGCAAACTCCTTAAATGTGAAGATCGTATCTACATCTGATGACAGAAGATTGCTGTCTGTTACAGTAGCAAAGAGTAAAATGCAAGAATGAATGCAGGGATTACAAGGGATTAGTTGAAGAGTGTTTGGAAAGTGTGACATGATTAAAATGCTATCTATTAGATATTAGGGAATTTGGTCTAATACTTAACATACCATGCTAGAAAGTGGGAGACTGTGAATTCTAGCCTTAGCTATGACCTTGGGCCAGTCACTCTCTCAGCCCTACTCACTTCACAGGATTGTTGTTGGGAAAATAGGTAAAGGAAGGTGGATATGTTCACCATCTTCAGTTATTTGTAAAAATAATAAAGGCCAGATATAAATAAATATTGTACTATTTAATATAATAAATACTAAATATTACCTTGCTGAATTCATTTGGGAGAAAACTTGTGTCTCTTATAATAGTGGAAGAGAAGTATTTTATTTATGCCCTAGGTTTGGTTTAAAGGTGGAAAAGGAAGAAGTAAAAGAAGTTCCTATATATTCAGAAAGAGTATTGAAATAACAGTGTGTGACTTTCATTTCAGGGAGGTCTAATGTTTATAGATTAACTGTTTGTGACTAACCAGAAGAGGGAGTTGGGACAGTAGTAAAAGCTCAGTGAAAATATTGGTTCATTGTGTAACTACTGGGGAAGGCAAATCCCAGATACAAAATCATGAAAAAAAGGTTAAAAAATATCAATACCAAAATGTCTTCACACAAATACATGAAATAAATATTCTTGGAGTATTGCCAGAAATTTTGAGTCTTCTTAAAGTATGGCAGGAAAAAAAATGGTTTGAAATAAGTTATAATTCAGTTATAGAAAATACCAGCAAGAGTCCACTGCTTTTTTAAACATACATAAACATCTAGATATTAGAGGAAGTATGAAAAATGCTTCTGAGTACTTAAACTGGAAAAATAAAAACTGAAGAAAACCTGGCTGGATAGATTGACCAGTTCCTAGTTTGCAATATGTTTAAAATTTAGGTGAAAAAGATCAGAAAAGGAACCAAAACAATGAAGCTGAATTGGAACTGAAGGAAACAACATTGGGGATATTTGACTTAGAAAACTGTGAGTAAAGAGGAATAAAGTAAAGCATTATTAAAGTATGGACTGTGTTAAGAAAAGAAACATAATTTTTTTTCTCCATACATCACAAAACTGACATTAGGATCACTCAATGAAGACAAGTGGTGGTAAACTCAAGACTTAATTTTAAGGGTCTCTGTTGAGAAACCTTTTAAATTTAAAATGTTTTTCCATTTTCACAAATACTTTTGTAAGCCAATAAAAATAAATGATTGTCCTTATACTACAAATTATATACAAAGAGTGTCTCTTCTTTTTTCTCCAGCAGATTAACAGTTATTCCTCTGGAAACCGTTCACAAAGGTATCTCAGAAAGATAAGAAGTACAAATCATTAGAGTTGTAACTTTTGAAAAGAAGATTCAGCCTATTGGTTCTAGGAAAGCTTCTTGGCTAAATGTATTTCAACTCTTATACTATTTTATCTTTGCTTTAAATAGTTTTCCATTGTTCTTATACATTAGGATCTAAAAAACCCTTTGGAGCCAGTGGGCATTGCTAAGTGTAATAGGTTTAAAATCATACCAAGCCACCCGGTTGTCAGCAAAGCTGATTCCTTCCCTCCTCTGCAATTTACAGAGCTGGCTAAATTATGCTTTGAACCATTTTTAAAACTTGAAGAAGTTCAAATGTAGTTTGTGAAGTAGGGACAAAGGGATTTGTAAAAGGGAAAATACAACTTTTATGTTAAAGCTACCAAATCCTAAAAAAAGTTATTTGAAAGAAATGGTCTCTTCTTTATGAATAAATATAATGCAACAATAACATTTAAATGTCAATGTCCATAGTATACTACATTTAGAAAAGACTGTATTTGAACAGTTTTACATTTCATACACAAACTTTGATCCAAAATTCAGAGATAACCTATATCTGTTATTTACATATGTCAATATTGCTACTATTTCACAATTTGCATTTATAAACCCTTTTTAGATGCAAACTTTTTTTCTAGAAACTATAATTGCATATTGACATAGAAAACATCATTTCAATTTATGATCAGTAAGTAATTAAATATGTCTCTGTTTTAGTGAAGTTTCATGTTAGTGATTCAAAATATATATCACTTTATCTCTACTGCCTACCGGTGCAAATATATCTGCACAATTAGTTTACATATTATTACAAAGAACAAAACTTTATCACAAAGGCTATTTTCTTTGCTCTACAGGTTTTTATAAAACTTTTACATATGATGCCCCAGACTTCCTGGAAGCCTGGCTAACAGGAACAATAGTCATCTCTAGAATTTGAATGATTCAGCAACTTGATTAGCCATTTCAAACTTATCACCTCCATATGGAAAACACTGATCCAAATAGTGTGCTCCTTTGAATCTTTCATACTAAAGGACCAACAAGAAATTGATATTGGGGTTAACTGGAAGCACTAACCTATTCATGAGAAGGTTCTGATTAAGACTGCTGACAGATCTCAAATACTTCCAAAAGCCATTTGCAGATTTACCCAGCAATCTGAGGCAGAGTTCTATAGGATGCCTTGTTAAATTCAGAATATAAAGTTGACTAGGTTGCTAGTTGCTCCTGAGTGGTCTCTCCTCACCCATTGCTTCTGAGCAGCTTCTTACTTCTCTGAGAAATTTTAGGAAATCAAGTGTGTGAAGACATGCAACACTGGAAATCACTTCTATATGTATTTGATTGTCCTTGACCCTTTTAGGGAGGAATGGGCTGGAATAACAACTGAATATAAATCAATCAGTTGTCTGTCCAAACATTTCATGAAGAAAATTATTTGCTTTCATTCCAAGAGGGAAGCGGGGTGGATGGAATCTGTTAAGATGACAGGAGATACATCTTGTAGTCACATCTACAGTAGGAGATTCTGGAGCATGTGGATCCCATTGGGATATACAAAATTATGTTTGATCTTAATTCTGTCACTTGTGCATGGAATCCTGGCCCATCTGCCTAGAAAAAAGAGCCAATGAGAGTCCAATGCAATGGATCCATCCCATACATAAAACATGTTTGAGAGACAATGAAATTCTAGCATTTCTGCAAAATGTCCAACCATGGAAGTAGAATAACTTTAGTTATATCTACATTCTACTTCTTGGCAAGATTGCTGAGAAAGTGGTAAACTATCTTTCAGATGGCTTTGGAGAATATAAATGATCTAGATGTAGGGCAATCTGGATTCAACTTTGAAATGAAGCAGAAAATGCACTGGTAGCTGTTAGATGAACTCCAACAGGAATTTGATGAAGAGGGCACACAACTATCTTTTTTCTAGATCTCTTAGCAATTTTGGATACTGTTCATCTTAGTATCCCTTTGGATGGATTGCAATGATTGGAATTTGGAAGAATCATTTTAGCACATGGTTCTGCTCTGTCCTAAGTAGGCAGTCCAGTCAGTAGTGACAGTGGTGGGAAGGGGTTGGCCCTTTGCTCTAATTGTTATGGGATTTCATCGAGCTTCATTCTTTTTCCTGTTCACTTGGTAAGGTAATTTATTAGGTTCAGAGTGGTGTATTGTCAGCTTCACTTGGTAAACCAGACTAGGAAATCAACCTCAACTTTAACCTATGAACTACATTTATCAATATTGGCTTTAATAAGAGAATCTTGCAAGTTTCATTGGCCTGTACATCCTTCTCTTTCTCTTCCTCAAAATATGGACTTCCTTCTGGGTTCACAGATCCTGAATAGGTAGGAGCCATGGCCAAAGTCTTTGCTTAATGCTTTTGCCAATTATAGTCAAATCTGGATCAGGAGGCACTTAAAACAAACCTGTCATATTTGCAAAGATTACTGCCATTTGCAGTATAAAGGTTTGCCTTTCTGAATCATCCAGAAGCTTTAACTGATCTAAAATGCACTGTGTTTTTGAGTGCCATTCAGATGCTGATCATCATGTTTAAAACTCTACATGGCTCAGTGTCTGGCTATCTAAAAGACCATCTTTTCCAGATAATTCTGTCTAACTAATCAGACCGCCAGATAATGGATAGACTGCCCACCTACCAAGCATGTACATGTAACACTCTGTAAAGTCTCACATTTTGTGCAACAACATACCCATGGAATGAGGATGATCCCAATTTTTGTAGCCTTCTGGAAAGTTGCAAAGACTTGAGTTTTCCAGAGACCCTTTTGGAACCGATTCTAAAACCATTGATCCTGGAAACAGCTCTACAATACTGTTCAATATTATTTTATACCATTTACTATATTAGTTTATTATTCTTTAGTACATGCACTTTAAATTTCCTAAATCCAACAGATTATAGACTATAATTATAGATAAAAATATTCTATATGAATCTCTGGCTAGGATCAGAAACAATACTCCTGTTTGACGGTGAGCCTCACATCATTTGAATACCAATATTTCTAATTCATTCTTTAATTACTTCATTCAGTGTGGTAATAGCCACTAAAGCATTGATGGTGAATCTTTTGGCCTTGGCATGTCAAAAATTTGAAAAATGACTAACTTGATTCTGCTGACATGTCACCCTCCCCACTTTCCCAGACAAAAGCAAAACAATTCATAACAAAGAGTTGCTTTGGATAATGAAATTAAATAAATAAATACTTACATAATTGTAAGTATTTTTTTATTTGTCTTTGTCTCTCAGACTAAAATGCATATCCAAGTCAGCTCTGGGTCCCATGAGACCTGGAACTTTGGAAAATGGTCTTGCTTTTTGGATGCTTCAGAGAGCACAATATATAGTAGTTAGCATAGCTTCTGGAGACACCAAAAATTGTGTGAGAATTTAAGATGCTTTTTGGAGACTGCAGAACTTCCTCAAGAATGTGATGTGCTCTCTGTGGCCTCCAAAGCCTCTGGAAATCACACAAGAAGGCACTGTTCCCACACACCTCTAAAATTTGCACGGCTTCTAGCCATGTCATCAAAAATGACGACATGTCACTTGTGATGTGTGTTAAAGATTCACCATGACTGCACTAGAGTAAAACCATACTAGTGGAGTTCGCTCTATTAGTTTGTTCCAGGAAAATTAGTAATTATCTGAAAATATTGTACGAGGACAGTATAAACACTACTATCAAACAGTAATTTTAGTTGTCCATTTCAATAAGGTAGTCCTGGATTTTGCTTCTTCTGTTTCCTGGCCTATTTTGGTGGTTCTTTTTTTAAAAATGCATTTGCATTGGGAACATCCTTAAAATATTGTTTAGAATTTAGATTGCTTTCTTTCTAATAGTTTGAAATGCTAATCCCCCAGCCCCAGCCCTCATCTCTTTCTCCCTGTTCCTTCGGAGGTTTTTTTTTTTTTTTTTTTTTGTAGAATATATTTAAGGCTGTACATCTATATGATTTTCTTACTGTACAGAATTTTAATGCTGCCATGGCACAACTTCTTATTATCCCTGTAACATGCTCTAATGTCACCTCCATGTATACTGAATATAAAACCATACTGCTAAGTATTTCAAGGTCATGACCTGTTCAATTTGATTATCATCTATCAGCTGTGAATAAATTTTGGACCTTTTAGCAAAAATTATTTATCATAAATAGGTTTTCCATATAATAAATGGCAGGACATTTCAGGATTTTTCCCAGGCTTATTAAGGTAGCAGACTGTATTTGAATACTGAAGTAACAACACGAATCTGTTTAGCTAGATGGAGAGCAAGACTTGTTATTATTTCAGCTGAATGACCTTTAAAATAGGGCATTAAAAACCTTTTGGAAAAAACTTCTAACCTTTAAGTTTTTCTTCGTTTGAAACATCACAAGGAATGAAGATAGTTCTCTGTGGATCATATTGCTTATCAAAGGCATCTTTGCTGACTTTGCCTGCATCTGCATTCAGATCCACAAGTGCCACCTAGAAAAAAGGAAAGTGTTCCACACAGATGTATGAAATTAGGTGCCTATCCTGACATAGAAGACATAAAAATTAGTTATACATTTCATAGACATAAAACAGAGAAAGAAAGAAGGGCTGTTTTAGAGAATAGTGATTAGCTGATATAATATCTACATTTGTACAAATATGTAGCTTTATATGAAACAAATGTGGTAGAAATTGGAAGCATATTACCTAACATTTTGCATTATATAACTTATTTGAGGACATAAATCCTAGGCATTTCAAAGGGAGGCTAAGTTTCAACTGTTTGAAATGTATCACTCCCTAGAAGTTCTAGATTTTACAACATAAAATTGAAGGAATATAAAATTTCCTGAAAGCAAGCCAATTGAATTTCACATGACATTAACTGCACATGGAATACATTATCTGCCTATCTGTATGGAACAGCAGTGTTTTCAGAGATTTGGACAAAACATGCATGCCTATTTTTATCAATGCATGTTAAAATAATTTTAAATTTAGAAACTGTGAATACAAGCACCAAATCCTACTTCAAACAGGCCCAGGAAAGTACGGTAATGTGCTTTATATTGTCCCTTCTCGAAAGAGAATTAAAGGAAGATTTTACCCATTATCCGCACATATCAACATATATGCTGCACTTTGAAACTAGTACCATCCATTCTGTCGCTTCTAACCCGCTCCACTCCCCCCCCACCCCCCCCCACCCCACAAAGAGAGCAGCTGCGAAGCTCGCAGTGCTGGAGAGACAAAGCCAATAGCTTCGAGGTACTTGCATGTTCAAGAAAAAGGAGGAGCCAGTTTGATCCTACGAAGTCCGAGAGAAACTTCTATCATTGTTCCACAGCGCGGGCGAGAAGGCAAGCAACGCAGGAGTGGACTGCCTGCCAGCGATAGCGAGCCTTTTCTGCGCCCCCCCCCCACCGCCACTGCCCCCCCCCACCGCTGTGCTCGAGCAGCGCGCAGTTGGTGCCCTTACCTTACAACCCTTTCCCAGCAGAGCTTCGACGAAGGCTTTGCCTATGCCCTGAGCTGCCCCAGTGACCAGAGCCACTTTGTCCTTCAGGTGCATTTTGCTTCTCTTTGCACTTTCGTCCACGAGGGTCGTCGCCGGCTCCTGTCGCTCAGAGCTGCGCGGCCGCTCCGGCGATTTCCTTCGGCTGCTGGTATTAACCTCCCCACAGCCTCCAGGCTCGGAGGTCTGAAGGAAAACTGAATCCGACCCGCGCAAGCCGAAGTTGGTGTCACCTGCATTGAAGTTGCCTCCCTTTGTCCCTCCCTTCCTCCACCTCCACTCGCGGCTTCCCCTTCTGGTGACTGTCCGGCTGGCTGTCCCCAGGCTGAATTTTGTGTGTCAGGCTCTGCGTTTTGTTTCTTTCCGGAGGTAAAAGTAACTGCCTATCTTTGTCGTCCCGTCCCCTTCCCATTTCATCTCGCTCTTCCTACGCCTCATTTTGATGAGCCAACAAATGCCTCAGGCTATTCCTGCCCTCCAGGAAGGAATGGACCGTCTGGTTAGGACAACACTTTGAAAGAAGGCATTTGTGTAAGATGAAGAGCCCTAAAAGTGAAAGAGCATGCAGAAGGGTCACTGACTTGGCTGGGACCATGTCCAATTGTTATAAAAATGTATGATAAATAAATCAAGGAATCGATTCTGAGAAGAAAAAAAAGTAGTCCTGAAGAAAATTAGAGCCAGCTCTTTGCAGTTTAAAATTCATGCTGATATCAGTCCATTAGGAATTATGTGGCTGACCATGGAAAGTGACCTCTGAATCAAATTATGGCCACTAAAAGTGAAGTTATGCTACTGATTGATAGCGGTAGTAGAGTTCTGGAACAGCCTTGTGGCCACCAACATATATATATCTAGGATGCCACTTTTCAGGAATCTTACTTCGATCCTGAAACAGAGAAGGCTGCTTGGATCATTCAAATGAAAATGTAAGATTTCCTTCTTTGATAATTTTGCCCCTTTATTCTGTTCATTTTTAAACATTACCCAGGAAGGAAATAGGGCTATCTGTCAGCATGTTCCACTGGTAGTATGAATTGATGTTCTTCTGGTAATTCAAGTTAAAGCTTAATTTCTCAAATTTTACTTTCGTTGAGGTCACCGTTAAATTCATAGATGTCTACCAAGGGTCTTAAAAGTCTCAGAGTTACCTCTGGGTAACAGCATGCCACCAAGTAGCATTGGACACAACACATCTAATTAGCACTCTGAGAATGCTAAACTAAGATGGGCCTTAGCCTTAAGCAGGGCTGTTTTTAGATTCACATTCCCATATGCATACTTTTTCAAAAGAGCTGATCTCTTTGATCTCTTTCTGATCTCTTGAAAGAAAAAAGAGATTTGAGAAAAAAAGCTGATCACTAAGTCTCCCATATTCAGTTTTAAACAATATATATTAAAGGTGCCAAATACCCAGTTTTGGAATATTTCCTGTAGAAATTATAAGGTAACACAACTGTCTTAAAATAGAAATAAAAATAATGAAATGGAATAAAATAGAAAATGCCTTGGTTTTAAGTCTCTCATCTCTACTGGAAACACTAGAAGAGTCAAGTTTAGTGTCATAAAAAGGAAGCTGAAGAAAAATGATAACTTCACCGGATAGTAAAAAAAATCAGAGGTATAGAGGCAATCTTGGATGTTCAAATGTGCTACTCAGAATCTTTTCCCATAGTTCAACTAAAGTATTGCTTAAATTCTTTGGGTCTGTTGCTGTCCACTTTTCTAAACATGAACATGGTAGGAAATAGACTGCTACAGTTTTAGCATACCATCAAAACCATATTTCTCCAAGCCTATTGATCAGTATGATGAGGGAGGAGAGCAAACATCTGATGAAGCCAGGCAGGTATAACATTCTGTCAAGAAGGCACAGAATCTACTATCCAAACAAACCTATATAGGGCTAAATACAGGAGAAGGTGAGTAGCTTATAATGAAGTGCTGCCTTCATTATTCTGTAGATCAGCTGTCCAGCACACAAAATTTTAAAACAGCTCTTAACCTGCAGTCAAAAGCTACCAACAGCTGATCAGCAGTTAGGCAAATAGTATAGTGAAGTGCACAACTTTATTGTGCACAAGTGCACATTATTCACAGATCTGGGTGACAAAATAGTAAAGTGGGTTTTTCTCCTTTAAATAATTGTTGGAGATGGAGGCAGTGTTTATTACTTAGAGCCACTTCTTTTGAGTAAATATAGAATTTATATCTTTTGACTCTTTCTTATTTTTTTTATTTCACAAAATATTTACTTTGAGGAATGAATTAAAGAATTGAAGGAAGGGTTTGTTTCCATTATCAGAATCTCTGGATTTTACTAAGTAGCAATCATACTTACTGAAACTATTATATCCTCCATGAATTTTAATTGTTGGATTATTTGTTGCATATTTGATACATTGAACCAATTGAATACTTTTATGATTAATTAGTGTAAGCAGGAAAAATTGCTACCCCAAATCTTTACCTTGCTTTTGACTTAAAGAGAACATTATTTTCTCACCTTACGATGAAAAAAAATTAATATGGAGAAAGGTTATAAGGAAAGCTTGTATTATCTTTATTTGTGGAATATTTTTTGTAAATATAAAAACATTTTCTCCTTATAGGAGAAGGAAGTTTATCATAAATCAGGAAGGATAAAATAGAGAAGGACCAAATTAACCCTTCTGAACTTCCTTCCACATTGCTGTGTTATTTCAGCTGCTGCTATTCTTTACAGGCTGCTTTGAGTAATCCTTGCTAAAATATATTCCTGATATTCTACCATCTGAAATGTTTGGGTGAATATGAGACATGCTTTCCACCCCAATATTAATATGAGAATTATTTGTAAAATGGTCTTTATAAGCTCTCAAATAATAATTTAACAGTATACCTAGCTGGAAGTTTCTATATTTTATATATTTATTCCCAACCCCATCCCCTGTCTTGTGATTCCTTTAGATTTGCTTTCCATATTAATACAATTTCCAGGCACTAAATCAAAAACAGCAAATTCCATTCCATGTCAATATCTAAATCCAGAGTACCACAGATCCAATTAATCCATATCCTCCAATAGTCTCTATAATTTGTTGCCTACTGCCTTTTCAGTAACCTTTCCAGAGGTGGAAATTAGAAATATGCCAGCAGTTGCCTAGTAACATTGGATCCAGAACTAGATTTTGAGGAATAAGCAGCCAACACCTGTTTCAAGGCAACCAGAACTCTTCCTCCTTTACGTAAGTACTGATTATTACCTGAATCCACTTTCCCATCTCATTCCTCATTCTGGAAGTAACACCACAGAGAACTGTGTCAGCTTTCTGAGATGGACTATTGTATCTTAAATGGTTCCAACTCTCTGAAATCAAGTCCATTGGCACAAGTAACTGATCAGTCGCTGACAAAGTTTGATGGTAAAAAAAAATCAAGTATCCATTCACATCTCCTCTCTTCTAAGACCAAGACTGTTATGGAGTCATGAATTTCCAAACTGTGTCCATTCCCAGAGTTAGGATGTTAAAATTGCTTAGAATCAAGAGCCTAGTTAAATCCATTGCAATCTTGCAATGAGATAAAGTAGCAATGGAAGGACTCTTTTAGGAGGATAATATATAGCAGTAGTTCCAGTTTTTCTTCCGGACTAACCTCACATATAAGACTCTCTGTGGGTAAAGCTCCTCAAAACAATCAAGAACAAAACTGCCAAAGTCATGGGTTGATGTAAAATACCAAACCCATTAGCCAAATCTCATGAGAAGGATTTCCCCCTTTTCCTTCCAGATGGCCTGGGTAGTCTTACAAGATTAAGACTAGTTGGTTAGCTTGAAAGTATAATGACTCATAAACTAAAACAGTGAAACCCTTCTGCTCCAGCAAATAGTGTGTACAGTAGTTTTCATATGTGGCTATTGTTAACTGCTACATGTTTTTTAGAATGAGATATGAACTGAACCAAGACATTTCCTTAATGAAAATATAGAATGATACTTGGGCCTACAAAGCCCAACATTCTGCCCAAAACCAGAATGATCCTTGACCTAGACCAATCTTATTTTAAAAACATACAGAAATTAAATATTTCTTTCTGTCTTAATTTGCTCTTACTTAAAACAAGTGCACAAACTGTATAACAGTTTTGTAACTACTTGTTCTGCTGTCCAAAGCTCAACTAATGTCCAAGGTTCACTTGTTAAATCCAATATTCTGATTTGATATTGTTTGCTGTAGAGGTAAATCGTGGTCATTTTGATCTAATATAACATTATGCCTTATGGACAAAAAAGGATTGGACTGATTTTTCACCAAGATAATGAATTAAATGTAAATAACAACTTTATGATTATAAAGAATTTGAAATTGTATGCATTAGAATTACATAAATTTAATTATTACCTTTATAATATATGCTAGAAAATATATTTTATATACATATATAACACTGTATGTACATCCATACATGAAAACAGATGTTTGAACTCAAACTGTAAGTAGTAACACAGAAATGACTCAAGAAACTTTCAAAACAAATAAACATGCACATTTATGTTAACAGAAATCATAATGAATTGCAGTTAATAATAACAATTGTTCTTGAACATGTAAGAATGAATCTTTTTTTATAAGCACTGAACAAAAAAATAACACTTTTACACTCCTACATTAAACAAAACCAAGCTTGATAACATATGAATATAGTAAGAAATATTGTTTTGGTTATTGTTCAGATCCAGAGTTCAGATAATTCTTTAGCTATGGGATGGAATTCCACTGGAACACTTCAGAATAAAGAAAATAAAAGATTCCTCTAAGCAAACATAAAAACAGAGAAACAATAGAATCTGATCAAAGTTTATTTCATATAGCATTTTGTTTCCAAGTAACAAAAAAAGGCCTCTGAATTAGTCTGTCCTGTAGAAAATATGTATGGAACAATGCACTGTTATTACTTTGTCTTGAAGGACAATTTATGTGTTCTCTCTCTCTCTCTCTCTCTCTCTCTCTCTCTCTCTCTCTCACACACACACACACACACACACACACACACACACAGAGAGAGAGAGAGGGAGAGAGGAGAGAGAGAGGAGAGAGGAGAGAGAGAGGAGAGAGAGAGAGAGAGAGAGATTTGTTATACAAGAAATACAAAAACATTCAAATTTAACAACCTTAAGTACCTTATTTTGGTCACCATACTACAGAAAGGATGTTGAAATGTTGGAAAAAGTTCAGAGAAGAGCAACTAAGATGATCAAAGGCCTGGAGATTAAAACATGAAGGATCTGGGTTGGCTAATCTAAAGAAAAGAAGAATAAGACATAAGACAAGCTGGGCTGGCGTAACCCCCCCCCCTTTAGATATTTTTAATTGTAAATGGATTTTAGTCAGGAGGTTTTAAATTTTGGGCCAAAATCTGTTTAATTCTTTTA